TGGTGAGATCGACCAACGAATCTCTTCTTCATGCACTTTCATACGAAATGAAGGTCCCTCTAACATAGTTGCATGTATGTTCAAGATTGAATTAATTTAGGCTGTAGAGTTTTCATTCAGACTAGGCTTTCCGCTTATGTAGCCATATGGTCTATTTTCCAAAGGTCCATTGCTCGACAATAGGTGTTATGCAATAAAATCAGATAGTTCTCAATCAACACACGTTTCCCTTTCCTAGTTCCTTTTTTGGCATTCGGCAGAGACATTACTCTTGAGTAATGACAGTACAATGAATTTAGGAAGGTTGATTTTATTCTTATTCGGGCCAAATTGTTCTACCTATTTGACTGACCGGTAATCCGTTTCTCCCGGCCAAACTTATTATTACTTGTAAATTAATTTTCTTTGAATAAGAACTGGTGATTTCGAAACTTAATGTGAATACAATTTTCTTTGTCCTGTCTGATTTTTAAGTCTCTACCATTCGTCGCCCAGATGAACTGCATTCGCGTCACCAAACTCCCTGTGGTGGCCCATCACGGATCCCAGGAAAGACAAACTCTCGTCCCTCGAGCTTCATTGGGCAACATCGTCGACATGCTGATCGATCAAGTGGATCGACAGAGTCAACGATTACATATAAGTCTTGCGATAGACGAACTAGGTCTCCTGACGTCATTTCTTTCAAAACCACTTCCCCTTCACCCCTGCGCCGAAAATCTCGTGAGCCATCATCAGCCCCCCGGAACCGTCACAACCGCCCTCTCTCTGACTACGAGTTCCGTGAACGGGCGCGTATGCGGGTCCGCAGAGCATCGAATTTTTCAAGCAGACGCATATATCGGTGTTCAATGCGACTTGGAGACCGCGACCGTGCTTCACCTACTCTTCAACCTCATTCTCTCCATTCTGTAAGACCGGTTGGGACGCGGGAATGTCTTTCACCGGACGACCGGTTCGATCGGTCCGGCTACTTAAGAGAGCGGGACGCAAGGTCATCCTCACGAACGCATACACATTCTAGCGGGAGACCTGAAGCGTACAGTGGTTCTAGTAAACGGCGCTAGTTTTTCCCGGTGATGTGCCGTTAACTTGATTTGCTCGGCAACTGGAGCCCACTTAGAACCTGACTTGGCTGTGCTGTAATAATAAATAATTCGGAACTTATTGACCCTTCTTGCTGCATTAGTTTATTTCCTGAACTTTGAAATTCATCATTCTTCTTTTTTCTCGTTTTATCATTTTAAAATTTCGTCTCTGTACATATAATCCCTTTTCTGCTTTGCTTTATTTTTTCTTTATATCTTATTTCCTGGATACTCTGCACCAGGATTCAAACCTTAAACCTTTCCATTATTTATCATACTTCACTAAAAACTGGAAGTATGCTGTTTTTTATGTTATGAGACTGGACCAACCCATCCAATCATAGTTACCTTACTTCTTCGGCTCCAGCAAATTGTGATGACTTGGTGCCGCGGACTACCATTTTCAATCGAGCTTATCACTACGATTGCCACAACCTTCTATGCCCTACATACTCTCTCGAAGCAATTTTACATTCACAAAAAATATCTTTAACTTTTATATCTCTCACTCAGACTTACACTGGCAGTTTCATAGCTAAAGTG